TAGAATGCCACGTGAATGTTTTACCAAATGAGGCGCTCGAGGTACACGAAAGTGCGCGTATCTAATTGAAACGGCCGCAAGCCGAGCCCTGCCCAAACGTGAGAATTTCTGGTGGACATTATCATCAATCTTCCGGCTTGTCAGCGCAGTCAGCTGGCATTGCAGCTGAAGCTGTAGCTGTAGCTGCTCGTCGAGTGGCGAATAGAGTTGAGGCTGGCCACGCGCCGCAAGTCCAGACGGTTAGATCTTGCTCAAATTCAAACCGAAATTAATAAACAGTTACGCATGCGCAGGTTGAAAACGAGTTGCAGCAGCAGTTGCAACAGTTGCAGTTGCAGTCGCGACCTGCATCCGAGCATCCGAGCCAGCCGTTGATTATAGATCTTGTCTGTTATTTTGGCAAAACTCTAGTCAGCGCCAGTTGCAGCGCCAGATCCAGCTCGTCCCGACAGCAATTGCAGTAATCAATGCGCTGTTATCAATAACAGCTTGCGGTGCCAAGAACTGAATGGAGAGCAGCAGGCCGAACGCCTGACGACAATTTGTTTGCTTCGTGTCCGCGCAGCTAACGGGCCTTTGGAATTTGTCTAAGAAATTGCGCAAACAAAAATTATGATATATCTGGCTGGGGATGCGGCCAGTGGGCAGGATCTGTGATTAGCCAGCCCGCAGCCTGGCGGCACTACGGCAATGGCCAGGCACACATTACGACTGACAGACAGATTGATGGCCCGATGGGGGCTCATTAAAGCCATGCAGCGCAATCAAAACAAATCAAGCACAGGACACATAAAAAGCCACATCAACTGGGGAAATAAGCAGCAAAAAGGCCTTGTCTAGGATCCAATCCGATGCACAGCAACTGTGGGAACAGAGCGTAGCGTACGTATTACGTAGCTGCGGAGCTAGCCTGGCCTTTAACTGCTTAATTACAGCGCCTGCAGGCTGAGTGCCAATTCCTAGTTGCAGACCAAAGTTAAGACTCAGACTCATTATTATCTATTAAGCAGTCAGATTGGCAACAAAAAAACAAAAAGGAACGTCGAAAAGCAAAAGTTGCGCCCCAATCTGACAACCTGACTGACTGTCTAATGACACTGGCCGTTCCGCAGGGATGCAGCGATACTCAGAGCTGGCCCTCGCCTGGGCTCCACTCGCCATAAATGCATATGCATATGAGCTGCTCGTTTGCCTGTGGTGCAGTTGCCAGCAATTACAATGCTCACATATAGACGGCCAAGGATTGCTAGGCCTGCGCCTAGCTCGTCGTAATTGTTTCATATGCATAGCAGCAGCAGCGGCAGAGGCAGCATCATTGACTGCAGCAACAGGCAGCAATTTCACGGCATCCTCGTCATGACCAGCGGGCATAATTTACTTAGAACGAATCATGTCTAGGCCGGCTGGTAATAAAACACAGCGTCACGCCAGGGCCAAAGCCAAGGCCCACAACTAGCAGCATCATCAGGCAAGCACTGAGCCTGGCGCAACTGCGTCCAATTTGGCTGCGCAAGGAGCCGACGCTGCTGCCTCCTCAGCTGCCTCAGCTGCCTCAGCTGCCGCAGCTGCTGCTGTGGATGATGTCGACGTCTACATTGCTACCTTGTCCCCGACATAATCATGTTAAATTACTCGCAAATTCATTTGCTGTGCGCGGCTGCTGCCTCCGTTGGGCGCATTGTCGGCGCTCCGCCGGCCCCAGTTCCCTCCCCTTGGCCACAACTCAGCCGCTTTCAACACTGATGCATGGCGCATGATATGGCGGCACACACACACACATAGCCTCTGCGGCCGGAGCTTGGAGTTGGAGTCTTGAGCATGGGTTGTTAGCTTGTCGCTCACTCCATATTGATCGAGTCGGCATTATGGAAATTATGTGATCAAGGCCATAGAAAATGGAAATTGTTTTGCGCAAGAAAAAATTTGCATGCCTCCTGCTGCCGCTTGTTGCCTTATGCCTGGCATAATTTCTGTTTTCCTGCCATTGCATAATTGAGCCAGGCCAATGCGATCATCCAACTCGAGCCGAGCCGAGCCGAGCCGAGCTGAGCTGAGCTGAGGCTGGGCAATTATATCTCCGATGTATTGCATGTGCAGTCGGTGCATCCCTTGTTGGTGCATTGTTCTAGTCGCTGTCCAGGGAGCACTTCGCCCTGGATGGCTCTAATTACGTTCATCTATATCAAGGCAGGCTGCGAGCTACTTGCAACTTCCTCTTGTCGACCATAGAAAGAAGAGCCATCGCAACGGCATTCTAGCCTTTAAGGTCTTATCAGCTAGCCGTACACACACACACACTGTATATATATATATCTTGACCAGGTGGGGCGTATGCTGTGGGTGTGCTGCTGCTGCAGCTGTTGGTCGTCGCCAAAGTAGCGGTAAAGTTGCTGCCGCGTTTGGCACCGCACAACAGCAACACATACAAAAATGGCGCATTTGGGGGAACATGGCTCTGGCTATAGCTGTAGCTGTGGCCCAAAGGAAGATTTGTGTTTATTTTGTAATCTTTGAAATATTTGTGGCATGGCAAATATTTCACTAGCTGCGTTTCCGCGTAGCGCATGCGGACAGCCATGAAGATGGGAGACAGAGAGCTGGAGTCGAATTGAAAAAGGAACGATTGCTATCAACGAAATATTTAGCGAAACTTCCACTTTTCACATGCCTGGCGCGCTGTTCCCCCTGTTAGGCCCCTTCCGCTGTATCCCCCTCCATCGGCAACCGCCTGCGTATCCACCTACAGCACTAAATAATAAAGCGTAACCAGCAAAAGGCGTGCCCGCTGCCTTAGCCTGGTCAATGCGGCTGTCGGAGACAGAGTTAGAGTCGCAGCCAGAGTCAGAGCCAGAGCTACGGCACCTAAGCCTAAGTCTAGGCCTACTTATGTAAGTAAAGCCAGCTAGTGGCTTGTATTTTATGGTTTGTGTACACATTTTTGCACACATGCGCGACCGGGTCGTTCAACTTGTTGCTGCGGCGGCGGCAGCAGCAGCAGCAGCAGCAGCAACAGCAGCAGCCATCCAGCCATGGCCATGGCCATGGCCAAGAAACATTCGGGATGCGAGGCGTGCGCGCGCTTTCCTAGAATAAACAAAATGCACGACTCTTGCGACAGCAGCAACAGCAACAACAACAACAACAACAGCAGCAGCAGCAACCAACGCCGCCAACAACTTTGGCTTGGCCCGAAGCTGTAGTCATGTGAATGTAGCTGTAAGCTGCAGCCAAATCAACACCAACAACAACAACTAACTTGGCTGAGTAACTGACTGACTAACTGACTGACTGACTTCTGTTTGTTGGACCGACACGACCATGTTTGATGTGTACCATCAACAGCCGCAGCAGCAGCGGCAGGCAAACAACGACGACGACGGCGACGCCGACGCCGACGACGACTCTCATGCGTCTTGGTCATCATCGTCGTGCTGATGCTGCCAACAACTCGTATGTGGCTTGTTTCAGTTGTTGCACTTGCAGCGGAAAATTGTTGCATAAGTTTGCATTACGAGGCGGCCAACTGGGAACTGGGAACTGCGAACTGGGAGCTGAGCAACTGGGCAACTGGGCAGTCCGATTGCGGGGCGTGCTGCCAGCGAACCGGCTGCATGGCCGACTCCCATTGCCGTTTGCTACCAAAACCCGCCCGGTGTCGCTATCTACAACTATCCTGCTCTAAGTCGCTCTCCCTCTTTCTCAACCCCCCTCACTCTCTCCATGTCTCTGTTACTCTAGGCAGGCAATCCTTAACAGTTAATGTGTGAATTTTTATGCGTTACCAGGCTCGGTCGTGGCTCTTGTTGTTCTTCTTACCGCATAAAACGTAATTTACATCCGTTACTTTGAAAAACTAAGATGTTGCAGAGCAACAACAGCAGCAGCATCAGCAGGCGCAGAAGCAGCAGCATCAACACCAAAACACAGTCCTCAGCCACAGCCTGGCTATTGAAATTGCTACTCTGATTTGTTGCTGCCGCTACCATTGGTTCAGGCCTGGCCAATACAATGCTTATAAGCATTTGCCGTTAGAATTTTCATTGTTATTTCGGCTGGAGTGCAATGTAAATTATATTATCGTCTGGCAAATTCCGCATGCCGCCAATCGAGCAGAAATTAACATTTGATACATGTGGCGAATTGTCAACCCTTCAACTAGCCGCAATTAATCATAGTTGGCCCAGCAACAACAACATCAACAGCAGCAACAAAACCATTCATAACGAAATGCAATTTGTCAAATCATTTTAGCAGCAGTTGCTGCTGCTGCGGCTGCAACAGCATGTTGCTGTCGTGGTCGTGTAAACGCCACCGCAGCAGCAGCAACTGACCCTCAGTTGGAAGGCGCGCGCGTTGCCGGTTAACTGTCAGCTTAAACAATTTGTTTGAGCCATTTTTTAGCGGCTCTCGTTGCAGTTGGCCCAGTGTGGGACACACACAGGCTAAGATGCTCCATGGCTCCATGGAACCAGCTACGTGCCATTATTTCTTGCATTCTCTGCTGTTGCAGCCGCTGCTGCTGCCGCTGCTGCTGTTGTTGCTGCTGCTGAATTTTGATTATGTGGTAATAATACGTTGCACGCACACAAAGCCGAGCACTGCAAAAGTTTCTGCTGCTGCTGCTGCTGCTGCAGCTGCAATTTGCTGCCCGCTTGTTGCATGCTGCCTGTTGCATGCTGGCCAGCGGCGGTCGAGCCCTGTTATCAGACGACGCTGGCCTATCAACGAGTACCAGGAATAGAACGAGTGAGCCGAGCCACTAGAGCCAAGTGCTCAGACATCGGCCTACGCAAGTTTACAGCCGACGTCTAATTTCAATTGCATGCAGGCACAATTAGAGGTCTGGCATTCGCTGTAATAGATAAATTAATTTATTATAGTCATGACGACTAACGGATATGGCCATCATGAAATTCTAACGTAATAGACCAAATACCTATGGCATTTCCTACAAATATGAAAAAAAAACTAATTGTTGCTCTCTTCCTCTTTCATTGCAGCTCCCGTACAGGAGTATACGGAAATAACACCGTATCCAGGTGAGTGAAATAAAACATATCTAACTAATACAGTGGTAATAATCATAAATCTAAAAAATTCGACGAGGATTTAGCTTGAGCTAATAATTCAATTTTGATAGCGAATTATAGCATTAGCGTTAATTGAGCCTCACTTTACGGCCATTTAACACTGTTTGACTCCAGCCGCCTAATCGACTACAAAAGACCAATAACTGACCCACAACAGCCATAAAAAAAAAAAAACAAACCCAGTAGACTGACTGGGGAATTATGTTGAGCATTATTAGGCGGTTAGCTGAGGTGTGAAAAAACACACGAAATACATTTTAAATGCGACAGTTGACTAGCAGATACCCTGTACTATGTGAAATGTTGGATAGAAGAATGTCTCAATTATTGTTTCCCGAGTATTTGATAATTTTATAGAACCTGCTAGTTGGCTTGCAAACTTGTAGGTATTCTCTGTGTTACAGAGTTACAGGGTATATATATATCTATAATCAAATAAAAATGAACAATGAAATAAACAGTCTTTTAGGAGGTTTATGAGGAAAACGTGAGCACCAGACAGGCGGACAGACGGACAGACAGCGACACCAAAGATTTCAATCAAAATTTGTCTAGCCAACAAGTCAGTCGAATAGGCTGACAGCAAAAAAGCTCATGCTGAAGCCGAAGCTGACAAGACGTTGGCGGGGAGCTGCTGCAAGTTGCGCTTGACGTGTTAATAATGTGATTTGAAATTTATTGCGGGTGGACGGCAGTAAATTAGGTAGCTGTACCCAGTATTCAGTAGCCATAGACAAGGCATACGTCTGTTGAGCGTTGTCTGGCGCTTGAGTTGTCGCTGTTTAACGACTCTGATGAGCCATAAAAGATATCTATGGCTGCACGTATTATGACATTTGATGGCGCTGGAACTTAATTTATGTCCGAAACGGCATAGTAGCACACACGAGCTAGTTAAGACTTGGAGTGAATGCATAACAGGGAAATGCTGGGGAACTAACTGTTCATTTTACTTGCACTGCCATATATATTAAGTTGTTGAGGTAGGCATTGTTCTATGGTTCCCAGGCCTGCTCCAGTTACACTTAGCTGGGTTTTCTAATGAATCGCAACTTTCTTTTCGCTTATTGCAGAGGGCTGCTACTACAACTATGGGCATTACAATGAAGGTGACCGCATCATGACCAATGAGCCGTGTCTCAACTGCACCTGCCACAACCGCATGCTCATGTGCTATCTGCGCGTTTGCCCATTCACTAAGCCAATTGGTCAGGATTGCATTGTGGAGAAGCGCGAAGATCAGTGCTGTCCTATCGTTACCTGCCCAGTGGGTAAGTTCTATTGGCTGGATTTTTATAGACCAGTCATTTCAATTACGTGCTGCTATTTCAGTTCATGTCGAAGTGCCGTATCGTACGCCCGAGCCTGGAACTGAGCTGAGCATACCCGAAAAGTTCGGCTGCAGCATTGAAGAGAAGTTCTACCCGGAAGGCGCCCAGGTGCCGTCGAACCCGAACAAACCCTGCGAACTCTGCTACTGCATTAACAATCAGACCAAATGCGTTATGCAGGAGTGCACCCTGCATGTGGATGGCTGCACACCCATCTACAACAAAGGCTCTTGCTGTCCAGTACGCTACAGTTGCGGTAAGTAGTTGAAGCATTTTCCTCTCAAAGTCAAATCTCATTTACGTTTCGTATTCTGCAGACCATGAGAACGATGTTCTTGAGCTGGAGGACCATTCCACAACAACGACCACTGTTCGTCCGACACCTGGATTTATTCTGACCACTACCATGACTCCGGCTGTGTCGACGGATTGCATCCACAACGGAGAGACCTTCGCCGATGGTGCCTCCATCGAGGGCAAGAATGCTTGCGAGCATTGTTACTGCATGCGCGGTGATATTGTGTGTGCCGTCCAAGAATGCGAGATGCCAATGAGTACGGCCAGTGGCAAAACTTGCCGTGCCATGCCAGCTGCCGAGGGCGAGTGCTGTCCAAGCAACTATATTTGTGATGATGATAGTACCACAAGTGACAGCCTTGAATCCACCACACTGGAGACAAGCCGAGATGAGGAGCCAATTACTACAGCAACCCCAGTCAAGGACATACCCGGTGAAATACCAAAGGAGGATCTGGACTTGCAGGAACACATTGATGATAAGAAGAAGGATGAGGACGTGACCACAGAAGTTGATCAAGGGGAGACCACAGTCGCTCCGACTCATGACGATAAGATTAAGGAAAAGGAACCTGAAACCTCTACTGTGGTCACGGATGCTAGAATCGATACTCCAGCGGAGTCTTCTACGACGTCGATCGAAGAAGGTAGCGGAGAGGAAGATATCAGCAAGGCAACAACGCCAGCAGCAGAGGGAACTGAAAAGCCCGCAGAGCCAACTAAAGAAGGAAGCGGAGAAGACACGACACCCACTTCATCTGAGGAAGGTAGCGGGGAAGCCGACACTACATCCGCACCTTCATCGCAAGAAACCAGCGCCGAAAGCGAAGAAGATATTGTCAAGACTTCCACACCTGTTGCTCCAACTAGTATTTCTGGAGATGGTCAGGACGCTACTACACCCACTATTGATGTTAGCGAGAAAGAGGAAGTGCCGAAAGAGACTCCATCTGTGGGCGTTACTGGTGAAGAAGATGTTCCGAAGGGTACAACTCCAGTTTCTACAGTCACCGATGAGGAGGACGCCTCGAAGGCAACAACTCCAAGTGAAGAAGTTAGCGAAACAGGCGACGTCGCCAGGATTACCACTCCAACATCTGACATTAGCGATAAGGAAGATGATATTAAGGGAACAACTCTTGCATCTGATGTTAGCGACGAGGAAGAAATTGCCAAGCCTACAACTCCAACTGACATTACGGATAAGGAAGATGGTGTCAAGGCTACAACTTCAGCTGCAGTGGCTAGCGATAAGGTTGATGAAGTTGAGTCTTCAACACCAACTTCAATTAGCGACAGTGAAGAAGTTGCCAAGGGTACAACGCCAGCCGCTGAATCTGGCGACAAGACTGAAGACATCGTTCCAACTACAGACAGTGATAAGGAAGACGATGTCAAGGCAACAAGTCCTTCTGCAGATAAGGATGAGGAGTTCAAGGTTACAACTCCAAAGGCTGACACTGGTAAGGAAGACGATCTTAAGGCTACAACTTCAGCCACAGATGTTTCCGATAAGGAAGAAGTTACAGCTTCCGAGCCCGATGAGGAAGATGTTGTCAAATCAACAACTCAGGCCTCAGAAGTTAGCGACAAGGGTACATCTACAACTTCGCAGGCTGATGAGGAAGATATTGTCAATGCTACAACTCCACCCTCAGATGTTAGCGATAAGGATATATCTACAGCATCTCAGCCCGATGAGGGAGATGTGGTTAAGGCAACAACTCCAGCCGCAGATGCTAGCGACAAGGGTACATCTACAGCTTCCGAGCCTGATGAAGAAGACATTGTCAATGCTACAACTCCAGCCTCAGACGTTAGCAAAAAGGAAGAAGTTGAAAAGGCTACAACTCCAGCAATTGAAGTTGATGAGGAAGAAGTTGCAAAGGGTACAAGTCCAGCTGCTGAATATGACATCAAGGCTACCACTCCTGCAGATAGCGAAAAGGATGAGGATGAGGTCAAGACAACAACGCCGGTCGCTGATGTTAGCGACAAGGCAACAACGCCAGCCAAGGAAGTCAGTGGTGAGGAAGATATTATCAAGGAAACAACTCCTGCCCCAGAAGAACAGGATACTAGTAAGCCCGACACTTCTGCAGCAGATGAACTCGCTGAAGAAGATATTGTTAAGGCTACAACTCCCGTTGCTGAGGGTATTGATGCTACCAAGGAGAGTACCGATGATATTGCTAGAGCCACAACTCCTGCTGGTCCTACTGTTGAAAAGGCTGAAAAGGCGACCACTCCTGCAAAGGATGTTAGTGATATTGATATTACTAAGGACACAACTCCTGCTGAAGAGATCAGCGCCTTCACAGAAACTTCTGCAACAGAAGAAATTATCAAGTCTACGACTCCTGCAGGCGAGGACCTTAAAAAGGATACTGACACATCTACAACTGTTACTGAACAGGCCGGTGAAGATATTTCTATCCAGACTACGCCATCTGCCGAAGAAGTTAGCAGCGAGAAGGACAAGGACGTTGTTAAGCCCACTGGAGATGAAAGCGATGAAGAAGTTATTCCCAGCACAACTTCTGATGAAGACACCACTAGCGAAGAAGAAGAAGTCAAGGGTACAACTCCAGCTGCTCAGACCATCAAGCCCAGCACACCCAAAACTGAAGAAGACCAAACAACAGAGTCTGAAAAAGACTCCACAGAAGAGGAAGCTGTTCCGACAACAACAACGCCAGCTCATATTTCATCATCTACCACTGAAGGTATCAGTGAGCAGGATATCTCAGACGTCAGTTCAGAAGAAGAGACGCCCGCTGTGCAAAGCACCACAGCTTCTCCCAAACAACCCGAAGACCAGGAAAGCGACGAGAAAGAATCTCTGGAGGATCACACTGAGGAACCCAAAAAGGATGTCACGGAAACATATGATGAGGCTACTACTATCGAAGCAGAAAAGGAAATTGTGTCTTCCACTATTGCACCACTTGATAAGGAACCCTCTGAAAAAGACAAAGATGAAGACCAAACTACACAAGCAGTGCCTGTCAAGTCTGATATTGCTACTTCTGTCACTGAAGCTGATCAAAGCACGGCTCAACCTGACAAAAGTGAAGAAGCCACAACCGATAAACCGTCAACACTGTATCTGCCTCCTGTGTCGGAAGATGAACCAAAAGGCACCGAGATCCCAGAAACCAGTGAAGAAGATCTCACTGCCTCTACTTCTGAGGAGGAATCATCTGAACCTGCTAAGGTTACACCTGAGAAACAAGACACAGTTGATACCCGTCACGACTTTACCCCAGAGAGTACAACATTGGCACCCAGCTCAGAAGAGGATTCAACAGCTGCAGCAATGCCAGATATGCAGCTGCCGTCTGGCATACCCGGTGAAGGTGACTGCCTGGTTGAGGGCAAAACATATACCAACAATACCGATGTACCAGCAACCACACCCTGCGATATATCCTGCAAGTGTATTAGCAGCATTGTATCATGCAAGCCAGTGGAATGCAGAATTCCTGCAGATAGCGAGAACTGTGTTCTGGATACCGAGCATTCTGACGGCTGCTGCCCAACGTACATTTGTGAGTCTGATTCCACTACTCCGAAAGCCGTTGAAACTTCTGATGAAACCAAGTCAACCACAATCGTTCCCGAAACAAGTCATGATGTGGAGCCTACTACGCCTGAGAACATACCAAAGGATGTCATTATGCCTACTGGCATTACTGAGCTGCCAATGTCACATGTTAAGCCAGATGAAGAAGTCTCGCCCGTAACCACGCAAACTCCCGTTTCAGAAGAGGCTACAACAGAAAAAGATGTTAAGAGGCCAACTAAGGAGGAACCAATTGAAGAAGGTGAAAAAGTGGTTTATGCTACTCCCGCACCTGAGAAAGAAGACCAGAAACCTTCTGAGAAAGAGCCCACACCTGAGGATGATGGCGTTAAGGAAACTGCAGTGCCAACGACAGAGAAAACTGTTAGTCAACCAGAATATGAGCCAACAACAACGACCGCTTCAGCTGCAGATGAAACCCAAAAGAAGACAGACGATGTGCTGGCTACACCAACCACTGCTCCTATTTCAAGTGATGATGAAACTAAAGAAGAGAAGCCCGCTGACGAAAAATTGGGTGTCGCCGAAGACAAGATTCCCGCAACTACAATTGTTCCTACATCTGCTGAGACAACTAGTAAGCCTGAGGAAGAGCCTTCATCCACAGAAGCACATGTTGAAGATATTGATAAGAAGCAAGTTGATGATTCTGAAAAGATTCCCGTATCATCCACGACCACACCATCTGAAAGCGAGGACGCCACGACTATTGCTTCACCTGCTGAAGGTTCTGAGTCTTCAGATGGCAAGCCTTATAGCCCTGAAGACAGTATTGCTGCGACTACTGCTCGCCCTGATACCGAAGAAGATCAAGACAAGAAGAAACTCTCTATCCCAGAGGCAACCACATTTATGCCTGATGTATCGGAGACAGATGAAAAGAAACCTGCAGAAGAGGAGGCATTTACTGAGTCCGCTGTTGAGAAGAAACCAGAACAAGAAACATCTGATGACCAATCCACCTCCACTCCCGCCGTCAGCAAGGTGCAGGATGAAACCACTGTATCTTCTGTTGCAATTGATGAAGAGAGTGATTTATCGACAGAAAAGCCCACATCTGCAGTGGAAGACGACGTTTCTAGTGCTACAAAGTCTCCTGAAGACGAATTTGCGCCATTGCCAACAACTGTGCCCTCAACAGTACCAGAAGGTGAAAAGAAACCATCACAAGATGAAACTGCAACTGAAAAGGTTGAAGTCGAAATCACATCAGTACCTTCAGTTACTGTTTCTCCAACTGCTGATAAGGATGAGCCATCCATTACTGCGTCGCCATCTGCAGATGAGGAAGATACGCTTGGTCATACGACGGACAGAATTCTACCTGAAAAGCCAACAGAGGATAAATCGGAGGAGGAGCCTTATACAACTTATGCTCCTGTTATTGATGTATCTAAGAAACCATCTCAGGCAGATGATAAACATGATAGTGAGGTGCCAGCAATCTCAACATCTACACCATCTGAAACGAAAGATCAAGAAGATGAAGAGTCTACAACGATATCCACATCTATCAAGGATGAGGAGCCACAAGTTCCACTCGAAGAGTCCACAAGTGCAGCTCCCTCCGTTCAAGATCACACCAAGAAAACAACCGACAAAGAGGAAGAAGAGAGTTCCACAGTATCGGAGATTGATGAGGTTACAACCATTGGTCCAAAAACTCCAAGCAAAGACGCAGAAAGTACATCATCCTCAGTGGCACCCCCAGAGATTGCGATTGACATCACAACTGTTGCACCAAGCACAGAGGAAGAGGCAGGCACAGACAAGCCCATTGACATTGAAGGTTCCAAAACGCCATTGCAAAGTGAATTGCCCGAGGATAAGACTTCTTCAACAACCCCTCAATCTTATAGCGAAGAGGCTCCAGAGTCATCAACTAAGATTTCAGAGGATATTGACATTGACTTGGAGCAATTTACTACAGTTTCGCCTGCTTTGCAAGGAGTGCCTTCTAAACCATCTGATGAAAAGATTCCAACCACATCTGATGAAGGGGATAGCACAGAAGAAAGCTACACCGGAACCACTGAGGAACCACAAGCTACAGACGACAAGAAATTCCCATCTTTGCCTACAACTCAATCATCAATTGCGCCCGAAAAGGATATTAAGACACCGAGCACTTCCGATGAAGAAGCTGATCAAGAACCAGACACTGACTCCACAACAGTTGTTCCATCGTCAGAGGAAGAGGAACATATTCCTACTAAGGTCTTGCCAACAACAGCGCCTGTTGATAAAACTGATTCAACAACTATTACACCTGCCGAAGAAGAAATTGTTAAAATGCCCACTCAGGACGAAACTCAACCTAAGCCAGACGTTAGCGAAGAGTCGACCACAGTTTCGCAAGCAGCCGATAAGCCATCGGACGTATATCCAACCAAAGTTCCAGCTACGGATGAGCTTGAGGGCGATAAGGATCTTGATTCTACAACCGTGCGTCCAGACGATAAGATTATCTCCACTGCTTCGTCTTCTGATGACGATATTCAACAACCAACTACCCCTGCTGCTACTTCTATTAAAGTGGAAGTCACCACTACGGCTGCTGATGAAGAGTCTAGTGTTAGTACGGCTGCACCAGCGGTTATTGCTCAAGACGATGATACAGAGGGTACCACAGTCCGTCCCATTAGTGACAAGACAGGTGTCGCAGAGGAAGGTACTGTTGAGGAAACCATTTCAACAACACCCGAGTCCGAGGAGGACGAAGAGCCTGCTCGTATTCCCACCACACCCAAAACGGAAAGTGCAGTGGACACTACAGCCACTCCGATTCATATTCCTGGTGCTGAAGGCGATGTCATATCACAGACTGCTACTCCTCAAAGCGAAGACGAAAAGATTGTCACAGAATCTGCCACAACTTCAGCTGAAGATGCGGATAAGACTGTTGTTACAGTTGCCCCAGTGGCTGCTGATGTTGAATCAACTAGTGAAGTTAGCAAGAAACCATCCGATACAGAAGACGTGGGTGAGGAATCTACCGAGCCAGCTGATATTGAGCATGAAGGCACCACTGATCAATCTACTGGTGCCAAACTGAAGCCACCAACACCAACGCCAACTCCAGCAGGAGATGAAACTTCAACTAAGCAACCTGTGGAGGATGAAGATATTGTGGCAGAAACTGCACAGCCTGATCTCGAAAAGGAGACTTCAAGCAAATCGACTGAAGCTCCAGAGTCGGAGACACAAACTGCTGCGCCATCCGATACAGAAAAATCGACAAGAGCTCCAGTTGTTAGTCCCAGCGTGGAATCGACCGAGGATGCAGATGAGTCTGTTGAGTCGGAGGAGGAGCATACCCTTGCATCTGAGGACACCCATAAGGGAGAAGAAGCTGCTGAGTCTGCTGAATCTGAGGACACCGTTACAGAGCCTGCCAAAAAGAAACCTGAGGTTGATGAGGATGAAATTCCAGCTGTCGTCTCAGAGTTACCCCAGACAACACCTACAACAGCTGCGCATGATGAAACATCTGCAGAAGTGTCCAGCGAGGGAACTCCTACAACACAACCAGACATCGCCAGTATTACAACAATACATCCACTGTTCGCCCAGCGCTTCAGCACTACACTTTCCCCAGTCATCGCCGATAGAGTGTCAGAAGGAGAAACTGATGCTACACCGACGAAGCAAAGCACTGAGACATCAACAACCGAGTCTCCGCTCACAACAACTTCCGCGTCTAGCCCACAGCATGAGTCGATTACACCTCCATCATATGGTCATCAGCCACAATATCCCTCTTATCCAGAAGACGAATACGACGAAGAGGAGGTATTCGGCCCAGGCACCTGTCGCTATGCTGGCAAAATCTACGTGTCGGCGCAGCAAATCCCACGCGACGATCCTTGCGACTTCTGCTTCTGCTTCAGAAGCGACATCATCTGCTTGCAACAATCTTGCCCGCCACCAATTGCTGGCTGTCACGAGGAGCAAATCACTGGCTTCTGTTGTCCACGATACGAGTGTCCCGTAACCATGGCCGCCGTGCTTAATATTACGACAAGCACGACAACAACTAGTACCGAACTGCCACCGTTCATGACGAGCCTATCCCATGGCAGTGAAGTGACCCGCACCGGCTGCAGCATTAATGGCCGTTCGTACATGGTGGGCGAACCCATCCACTCAACGAGTGGTCCTTGCATGAGCTGCATGTGAGTATAAAGTGAATTTTAACCAATGAAACTGTGATAATTGATTCTTATTTCAAATTTCAGCTGCGGCGGCGATGGCCAGATGAAGTGCGACCCACAGCGCTGTGTCCCGAATCCAACAACGGCCCAAATGATGGCATCAGCTACGACTGGCCGTAAAAGATGAACCACCAGCCATGCACACTAAAAATAGTTTTAACTAATTTTTAAGCACTGCAAACTAAACAATCAGAAGCACAGATGAACAAACAGCCCAAATTGCACCCACAGAGCTGCATTCCTCACGTTTTTTGAAGGAACAACCAGAAAATAGAAATAATAGACTCCGAAATAGCAACAGATACAAAACAAAACATATAAAAACCAAAAAAAAAACACACACACACAAAAAAAAAAACTAAGGTGCCAAAACTGGTGAAAATATTGCGACCCCACTTGATTAGATTCAAATAATATCAGATCGAATGAGAAAATTTGTAACTTTAGATTTGCCATTAGATATTCGCACTTTTTTCAATTGATTTTCAATTTGTTTCGGAATAGGTTACGTGACGAAGCAACCAGTGATATTGTACTGTATACATAGTATAGGTGCAATTAATTTAGAACGCGCTCACTAAAAATGAATTACTTATATATTTTGAAAGAACCCCATATATAGCCAACCATAGCATCGTACGATGCGCCTTGTAAAGTTGTTCTTTGTGGTCCCATAGAAAATGCAATAGCTTTCAGGAGACTCTCAAAACCTAGAACAGAACATTTGGTATCCCAATCAATGACTTTACGAAGCCCCGACGTTTTGACTATGGACAAGCCGATTCTTTTTATTTGTTTTTAAATAGCAATACTTTCCTTCAATGCGCTTTTATAGTATTTTAGTCATCTTATTTTAAACATTATTATTTTTTGTGTATAATTGTTGCTTCTAGTCTTCTTTTGTTGTAAGAGCAACGAAATCCGCCTAAAACATGCGCAAAATAAGATCAAATTAGATCAGTTCAATTGAGTTGAGATAATGACAAACATATATATACATATATCTTCTATGAACTTTCCCATGCTTTTATACTTTTATATACAATATGTGTAAAATGAACAAACGAACGAAACTAGTTTTTATAGCAATTTTACAAACGAACTACGAATTGCATAGTTTTTAATGGATTGAATTTAAAGTTGATGTCAATGCATTTGCGCTACCCACGCACAAATCCATCTGTGGTAGGAAACAAAAGAAAAGTAATTAACCTAGAGTTTTTTTAAAAGTCAACTGACAATGGACACTATAACAAGCAATCGAATCAACTGTAGGCTATAGCTATTGCTCGACTGATTGAAAAGTGCACTAAAACCGTAGATATTGAAGTAGTCAATAATTTTGTAAACTATATTTTGTAGGATATCAACATTCCGCGTTGGTATTAATTTAAATCGTGTAACATCAATTTACAAATATCAAATATTTCAGTCGCTTGAGCTTTAGAGATACGCTGAATATTCGAAGCGTTATTAAACCACACACAATAAATATGAACAACAATTAGATTTATATAATCTCTAAATATAGTTACAGTTTTTAAGTATTTAACTATAAAAATAAATAAATAAATTTTAATGTAGAACTTATTTATTTTATATGTCTTTTAAGAACAGCTCTTGTGTTTCCATAATTATCGTAATTTATATGCAAGCTTTCTTTGTAATCTTATAAATAAATAAAACGCTTTTTATTGAAATGTAGAGATGAGCGTGTTAATACCTGATGGAAAAACTGCTTAATAGTTTGTCTATAAATTGTTTGTTAATGCTCTTAACTTTCTCTTATCAAAGGTTGAGTTGATAAGTTCACTAAATTTTTTACAATTTTAGTTGCCAATCTTTTTGAATCTAGATTGGCTCAGATCATTAACCCATGCAGACTGTATTAAATAAATACCTATAACGGATCCTCCACTTGAAATTTCATATTTAAACATATTTAGCCGGCAAACGTCTTATCGATAGCACTTATCAAGTAACTGTACCTGTTATCGCACAAAGTGTCATCACCAAAAGCAGACAAAAACAGCTGCTAAGCTAATTTGATCTGCAGCCTGCACTTCAGGTGCTAAAGCGAAATATTCTTTTTACATGGCGTGACGTAGTTAAAACACATAGATCAACACTTAGTATTAGAGTAAGCTAAATGAAGATGGCCAACATATCAACAATAAACTGGCTGTTTGTGTGCGGCCTGTCCTTTTGTCTTGGAGGCATTGCGGTGCTCAGTTTTATGCCGCTCAGCTCAGGTAAAAGGTTAATAATAAATGTCTATAAATACACAGTGGCATATTTTTTTTTTCATTTTAGATTGCATATGCCCGCTTAAGAACCCGTTAAGTAGCTTTAGTGGAGGCGAGCAGCTGAGCAAGAATATAATCAGCCCTCAATCAGGGCATAAAATGGCCATTTTGGTGCCATTTCGTGACCGGTTCGAAGAGTTACTTCAATTCGTGCCGCATTTGACAAAGTTTTTACGTAAACAGGGCGTGGAGCACCATATATTTGTACTGAATCAAGTGGACAGATTCCGATTCAATAGAGCTTCACTTATCAATGTTGGATTTCATTTCACTAGCGATGTCTACGACTATATTGCCATGCATGATGTGGATTTACTGCCACTCAACCAAGACTTATTATATGAGTACCCCAGTAGCTTGGGGCCGCTGCATATCGCCGGGCCCAAATTGCATCCAAAATACCACTACGACAACTTTGTTGGTGGCATTCTGTTAGTGCGTCGTGAGCACTTTACTCAAATGAACGGAATGTCTAACCAATACTGGGGCTGGGGATTAGAGGACGACGAATTTTTTGTGCGAATTCGGGACGCTGGCTTGCAGGTCACGCGCCCCCAAAACATTAAGACTGGCGTCAATGATACTTTTAGGTAGTATCACTAGGTGTGGATCTCCAATAGCATTAACAGATTTTTTCTTTTAGGCATATACACAATCGCCACCATCGCAAACGGGACACACAAAAGTGCTTTAACCAAAAGGAGATGACACGAAAGAGGGATCACAACACGGGTCTGAATAATGTCAACTACAAAATCCTTAAGGTACATGATATGTCGATCGATGGGATAAACATAACAGTTCTTAATATATTACTTGATTGTGATGTAAATAAAACGCCTTGGTGCGACTGCTCCGGGACAGCAGCAGCTGCTTCCGTCGTACAAACTTAGTTATAAATAGAAGAAAATGCCATGTTTTGTCCATTTTGCCTATCCGAATCTTAAGCTATGTTTATTTGTCTATTCGCATGGAGATAATTCACCGTTTGTTAGTACACGTGAACCATGCCATACAAGAATGTCCAGAAGAGCACGTAGGTGCAAAGGCCGCCCATGAATTGGTTCGTCAGTAGGTTTTTGCGATTAATAAAATACTTGCGCCACTGTGTGCCCGACTTGACTAGCACCAGCAGCCAGAGCACGAAAACAGACAAAAAGTAAAAGAGGAATCCAAGGGTTCCGCTCAGTCCCAAGATGCCTATAAAGGAAATGTGGGTTACCAACGACAGTCAATAGCTAATTTAAATTAATCAATTTACCAGCAGCGCAGCCGGAGATTGCAGCCATTGACGTACGGCAATACTCGACCGCAGATATATTGTTGCGAATGGCGCCCTCACTGTACGCAACAATTTCGCCGGTTTTTGAAGTCCGTGTTTTCACGCGATTCATTTTATTCAATTTTTTCTTTCAGCACACGAAAAATATAATTATTTGCTAGAGTTTTAGGCAGTCACAGCTAATGAATGAAATTTTGCCAGTCACGTTGAACACATCCAATTCACAGCTGAGATGAGGTGTATCGATAGTTTTGTGTCGTCTCAGTCGGAGAATGGTTCTTTCACAAACACGGTGCGAGAACAACAGAAGAGGGCCCGATTAATTAAAATATGTGGTGATAACGAAACTTACTAATTTATACGTGTTGAAATCGCGGGGCGAAATGTGTAATTAAACGAGAGGTTTAAAGAGGAAAATGTTTGAGGACCAAGAACAACCATAAGTGCTACAAAAAGGAAGTATCGTTAAAAGCTAAGCAAGTTTTCGCGGCCAGCCCACAACAAAGCAGAGCAATTAAAAAATCAATCACAATTCTAATTGAAAGCTGGGGAGACAGAAGCAGAAACAGAGGCAGAGGTAGGGCTCGGCGATATGTCACCCCCTAAGAACTGTGCCGTGTGCGGCGACAAGGCGTTGGGGTATAATTTCAATGCCGTTACTTGCGAAAGCTGCAAGGCATTCTTTAGGCGCAATGCGCTGGCTAAAAAGCAGTTCACCTGCCCATTTAATCAGAACTGCGAGATTACCGTGGTTACCCGCCGTTTCTGCCAGAAGTGCCGTCTGAAAAAATGTCTAGATATTGGAATGAAAAGCGAAAACATTATGTCCGAGGAGGACAAACTAATCAAGCGTCGAAAAATAGAAAACAATCGTGCCAAACGTCGTATGATGGAGCACGGAGGATCCGATGCAGACGCAGATGCCGATGACAACAAGGTAGCCGGTGCTGTTGCCGATAGCAGCTCTAATGTGGACATGTATGGTGGCTCACAAGACTCCCAAAGCTGCGGCTCGCCCGACAGTGAGGCCAATGGCAGGCCTATGGGACCAGCTAGCTCAACCACAAGCAGACCTCCGACTGATCGGCGTGCAGAAACTAACCCCCTGTTGATGACAGCCGATCAACTAGTTGATGAGATAGTAGCTGACCCAGATCGCGCTTGTCAGGCCATAAACAGGCTAATGCGTACCCAAAAGGAATCTATCTCCGTTATGGAGAAGATCATTGAATCACAAAAAGATGCCTTAAAACTTGTATCACATTTGATCGATTATCCTGGTAAATATACTTGTGCTCCAAAAGGTATTTATAATGTATTAATCGTCTTACTTTTGCAGGTGACGCACTGAAAATCATAAGCAAAATAATGAACTCGCCTTTCAATGCGTTAACAGTATTTACCAAATTTATGAGTTCACCGACAGATGGCCTTGAAATAATTTCTAAGATTGTCGATTCCCCGAAAGATGTAGTAGAGTTTATGCAAAACCTCATGAAATCGCCGGAGAATGCCATTGACATAATGAACAAATTTATGAACACACCGGCTGAGGCTCTTAAAATGTTAAATCGTATCTTCAATGGCACAAACACGACAACAGAAACTGACCGGAAGCCCACACATGGCGATGCTGACAACAATGTCTTGAATAGTGAGGAGCAGGATATGGGTCAATATCCGCAGTGTGACAAACAGTCGCAAGCAGGGCGCGTGGACACTGTCATACAGACCATGCTGCATGGCAGTCCATCAGGGAGCATAAGTAGCATAAACACGGGAGAAGCCGGGGTCACCTCGCCATTAAGCAGCATTGCTAGCCCAACCAGTAATATCCCAATTGACTTGCACTATCAGTCACCCAGTACGAACTATATGCCAGACGAACTGCCCAGCACATCGGGTAGTCATTCTTTGCCCTACATAGCCAATTCGCCAGAGTTCGATGTAAAGGGCTTTAATCAGCCCAGCTTTAGTGATGAGTTCAGCATGGACGGAAGCGTCAGCATTAACTCCATTGAGTCGGTGCTATCGGAAGTCATACGTCTGGAGTATCAGGCGTTTAACAGCTTGCAAACCCCCCCTTCACGCATCAAAGATGAAATGTATCATGCTGCTGGCGGCATGCCATCATCCTACATGAGTCAGGAGCAGACGTATGGTGGCTGCAAAGGCACGCAGCAGCATCTGCAGCACCAGCAACCAATTTGCGCTCCGTCGAGCATCTTTATGGAGCGCGACCTGAACGAGGCTGAGCAGATGAAGCTGCGCGAGCTGCGCTTGGCCAGTGAGGCCCTCTACGATCCAGTTGATGAAGATCTCAGTGCCTTGATGATTAACGACGAGCGTATTAAGGTGACCGCCTACTCCATATTTTTAGCAAAAATCCAAATTTACACTCACACCTGCACGCTTGCTTATCTAATCGGGCGCAGCCAAAGGCGATAGACAGTTAGCACCTGGCGCATGAGTCAGTGCATCTGACAGTTTCTGTGTGCCCAGCACGCACACCATGCTCAATGTAAACAAAAAACATTAGGCAATGTCGCTATGAAATACACGCACCTGTTGCTGAGCTAGGCCAGACACTTATGGATATCAGCAATATGCACTACAGGCGGTTGATATCTTTATCAGTCTCACGCAATCATTCCAACGGTACTATCACGAAACGTACTATCACCAGTCATAGCAGGCGCACATAAATAACCCCCAGTGGCCGGAGAGGCAAAACCAATTTCATGTTTTGGCTGACTGGTAGCCTTTATGGCCATTGTATTGACTGTTTACCTCTGGTGTTCCGTTTCGATTAGCACATTTTGTGCTGTTAATTAGGAAAACTGATATATTTCGAAAAATGTAGAGCTCGCAGGTGTTCTACGCTCTGATAAGCGAATGCGCCGGCTCTCAATATTGAATCATAGTTTATAGACAAGCGCGATTGATGTGATAATTAATGTTATCATTTTAATTTACATTCAACCCCATTCACCCCATAGCCCGACGATGCGCGACAAAGTCCAAAGCTGTTACAGCTTATCAATCTAACGGCAGTGGCCATCAAGCGCCTCATTAAGATGGCCAAAAAGATCAGTGCATTCCGGGACATGTGCCAAGAGGATCAGGTGGCTTTGCTCAAAGGCGGCTGCACCGAAATGATGATAATGCGTTCAGTGATGATATATGACAACGATCGAGGTGCTTGGAAAGTAAGTGACATTTTGCCTTCCATATAAGTATGTTTGTTAATTATGGAAAATATTCCTTATACAGGTGCCGCACACCAAAGAGAATATGGCAAACATACGTACCGATTTACTAAAGTTTGCCAAAGGGAATGTCTACGAAGAGCATCTAAAGTTCATTAGCACATTTGATGAAAAATGGCGTATGGATGAAAACATTATTCTCATAATGTGTGCCATTGTTCTCTTTACACCGGCGCGAGCGCGTCTTATTCACAAGGATGCCATTAGGCTGGACCAAGTAAATTGTGCGCTTACTCACTAAATGCAAATAATATTGATTGATCGTATTTTCAGAATTCCTATTATTATCTTCTGAGAAGATACTTGGAAAGCGTTTATCCTGGCTGTGAGGCAAAGAACGCGTTTATTCGATTGATACAAAAGATTTCAGATGTGGAACGTCTGAATAAATTCATCATAAACGTATATCTGAATGTGAACCCTTCCCAGGTGGAACCTTTATTACGTGAAATATTTGATTTGAAAAATCATTGAGACAACTTTGGAATTGAGCATCAAATGCCACATAGAATAATCGCTGGGCTGCTGTTGTTGTTGTTTCTATAGTCTATCAGCTACAATTGTTTTTGTTTTTCGCTTTAAAAGTTAGATTTAAATCGAATGTGATTATTAGATTTGCATATAAAACATAGTTTTTATATTTCTACATCAAAGAGAGTATATTTAGGTACAAAAAGCATAGCGAAATATAACATGTACACCTTTTAATTAGTTTTCAATAAACTATATTTAAAACCACACAACCACTTGAAGTGGGGAAAACAAAACTGAATGCGCAACAGCTGTGAGCTTTTTTTTCAAGTCTGCCAGTCCCACAAACGCTTATTGCAATATTAACTAATTAGCAACCGTTATCCCGCATATAAGAAAAAGATATTCAATGAAACAACCATTCAAATTTTATTTTTTGTTTAAACGCAGTCACAAATATAAAATAAAATTTTTGTTTGATATGTCCGCTAACCAAATTTCTCAAATCGTATGGCATAAACTTCACGCGTACTAATCGCAGAACCAGCAGAAATCGATGCTAGACCGACTTCAAACGCTAGACCGCGTCCCAATTTTACGTGTGCTACGGCTCTTGGCCGTAGCATACATAGTCAAATGTCTAATGATGGTAATGTTGATAGAACACGTTCGCTCTTCACAGCAAGCATGTGCCAGGCGGATGAACCGGTAATTGTCAGAACGATTTAGCAATTGCCTCTCGGTTTCGCAATTGACGCTCAGGTTGATTCGCGGCAGTCGTTAGCCCATTGCAAAAACTCATCTAAGGCGCTAACAGCAAGGTTGCGGGCCAAAGCCTTAACGCGCAAATTTCTATCGGTGGTGATGAGCACCAGTTCGGTTTGAATGAAACATTTACCATCTGTAAGTAGATATTTCTTTATAAATCATAACTATTATGAGAATAAATGAGGGGATATACCTCGGCATTGCTCTGAGCTGGCATTCTTTGAAACAGCAACTGCGGTTGCGAGAATTTTATCATCATTGGAAACATATTCTTCCTCAACGAGTGCAAATAACGAAGCATTTATAACAGATCCTTTCGTTGTAGCACATCTAGAATAAAAGAATATCATTAAAGGCGCTCTTATGATAATTTAAAGCTAATTGCCTTACTTAACATTATGTTTGGCTGATCTTATAAACTCCAGTGACTTTTTGGCGCGCGATGATACTTCATCAAAATGATGAATGCGTTGTGTTTGTTTGGAACTACGATACGAATCCAATTTGACGCCCTTAGATAGTCCATCCAGCTCTTTTACCACAGTCAGTGGTATGATAATAGTATAGCGCTTGTATTCCATCGATAGCTTTTCAATATCCTCCAGACAATCGATAAAGCAATTGGTATCCGGTAACAGGTAACGCGGTCGCACCTCAATGTACAATTTGGTATCGACCAATTTTAGAATTTGCTCTAGCTTGCTGTTGCAAATCTGCTTAACTTTGGCCTTTGCCTCGAGCTCCTTTTTCAATTTACAGAGCTGGGACACATCTGAGTCTGGACTTATGGAGTGATGCGAGTCTACTTCCTCTATATTTGGCTCTGAAGTGGAATTCTCCGTAGCTGTGGATGCAACACAGCTGTCAAAGTTATTGAGTGCCACTTGCATCGCTGTGTTTAAATCCTCAACTGTAAAGTTCGAATTTATGGGTTGCTGCAGTGACTCTTGATGCTCTATGTAAGTCTTCTGGAACTGCAATATTTTCCAAATGCGTTCAACAAACTGTACTCGCTCGGAGCCACGTTGGGCACCATCTCTGGCAGCAATATCCCCACCTAATGGTGCGAAGCCGCTCAACAATATATCTTCATCCAACACAACATTGTCCACTTTGCCATCGGTGTCCTTATCCACTTTGCTGTAGATAATTTCAAGGCGATCAAATAGAATTTGTAGCTCCGCCCAACAGTCGATGAATGAGTGGCTAGTGAAATTAAATAGAATTGTATTACAAAACTATAAAACTATGCTAATTGCTTTCGACTTACTCCTCTGAGCGCACAGGTTCCCAAAGATTCGTATTAATGCTCAGCCACTGTGTGTAGATCTTCACAAACTTCAAATAAATATTGATGTGTGCTAATCTGCAAAATGACGATAGTTAATACAAGAACATATACAACAAGAGCACTAACAACACATACTCTTCATCTGTGATGCATTGTAGATCGATTGATTCGCCCGTGAGGCTGGTAAGCAATTGGTTGGCCCGACTAAGCACAACACCAAAAAGTGTATTGGCAAAGTTGAAGCTATGATAACGCATCTCTCGACGATCAGCTAGAATTATACAATTGTAATTCAAAATGATGTAACATATTGCATCTGTATTTACCTTTGATCTTGTTATGTTCTACAACAAACACGTTTAGTGCTACAATTTTCAAAATTTTGCTCGACAATAGATTGTCATACTTCAAAGCCGAACTGAGTTGAATCTGCAGCTTACCCAGCTGCTGGTACATGCACTCAATACTGAAACAAAATAATTCAATTATAATAGACGTTGGGTTGTATCAATTTACATTGCTTACTCAGTGGCTGTAAAAAGCTTTCCGACTAAATACAAATACACTGACACAACGCGTGCCAGCAATTCTTGGGGTGGCATTGCATCATAGCGGCTTACTTCCGATGTTGCTAGTTTGTTTTTAGCCTTGTTTTTAAAATCGGTTCTATGTAGGCGTCTAATACCATCTGGATAGATCCATATCTCAGTACGCATTTGCTTCGACTTCTTCGACTTGCTTGGCGCGCAATGCATTGGCGACTGCTTCATCTCGGTTTCCTCATATTTTCGGCGTATATCATCGAACAAATCGAGAAGGCTCTCCTTGGCTGATTGTATAGCATTTGCTGACAAAAGGCTGCGCATATAATAATACACAGCATCGAAATGCTTGTGCTGTACAACAAATGTTAGAAATAATGTTCAGTACATAAATTCAATCAAAATAACTTAAATACATACTATATAAATGGCTATGATAGCCAGTTGATTGTATGGTGCTCCATTGCCAGGAATAAGCTCCTGCGCACGCTGATAGTATTTGGACGCCTCTGCAAAGTCCGTTGATTGCATCTGGTTGGCGCGATAGCGGCTCAAGTCGCCTAAACAGATGAGTAGACGTTGAGCCACTACCTTGACGGCGCTTTCACGTCGTGCCGAGATGTACTTCTTCATAATCTTGTCAAAAAGCGTTCGATAAAACTTTATACTTCGATCAATAAGCAATAAAGTGTGAGTTTGTGCAGTATCAGTATGTTGTCGCTTTAGATACTGCCGCACATTATAGAAAAGCAACTTCCAGAAGAATGCATCTACTTTGTGCTCACACACGAATTTAAGCTGATCCAGCAACAAGCAGGAAAAGGCCTCCTGCAGCTGTGCGTGTAAGCAGCAAAAGTTCTTCCAGTTCTAAAATCAATGCAATTATTATTAATCCTTCACTCGATTACTAGCACTTACGATGAGAATAAGATTGCGTTGCTGTAGGACCATTAGTTGATCGTACAATTGCACAATGATCTTTGCATTCGGCATGTTTAGAAGCTGCTCAAACCAAATCGGATGGTCGGTGGTAAGACGTACGCGTGACAGTGGCGACAACGGCGTTTGATCGTTCATCCGCGCAGAATGCGTACGGTTGCGCCTACGTGTTGTTCCATGCCCAGCTCTCATGCTGTCTGCATTCGATGTAGCTATTATTGATGAAGGACTGGCATTTACCCGCAGTATGCCAGGAATTCCCACATCAGTCGATTTTCTTTCCAAGCTGATGCTGCTGCCCCCGCTGGTATCCAAAACGGGTGCGGGTACCTCTCTTGAAGTATTCCCAGCATTTTTCTTTGGCTTGCACAATATTTGAACTGAATATAAAAGATGGCGGCGCAAACACAGATACAAACACACAATGAACAAAAATTGACAGATAATTATTGTGCGCTTAAGAGTGAGTCATGTCTCAAAAATACCTGGCCTTGTAATGGCTGGTGGAGTTGGTTCCGCATTTTCAGCATCCTCTGCTGCGTGGCTGTTGTGACTACAGCTTGCAGCGAATTTGTTCTGTAGCCGTTTCGGTAGAGTCCCAATGATTAGCGATATATCATTTTGATCTTTTGTTCCCTTTCGACTCATATTTTAAATGTTGCTTTTCCAGCTGCATTTATTCCGTCTTGGTTCTTTTAACGTGATTGGCCTTTGTTTTTGCTAATCAAAATATCACTATCACAAGTATTACGCAGAAGTATCTACACAACTCTCAGTGTGACCAGGTTGCAAATATAAATTACATATGGTATTTAGCTATCGATAGAAATGCAGTCTATCAACAGCAGATGCTGGTACCGTTCAGCGCCGCCATAGCATCCCCCTAAGCAATTTTCAATAGAATATTGAAGCTACAAATATTTGTTGTTTTATAGCCTACAATACATGAGTTTTTATTTTTTAAAATAGTATATTAAACCGAAAATCTACCCTGAATAGTGTGACCAGCGTAGCGAAATACTTTGCGGCGAGTTCACCGTATGAGCTTCTTTTTCACCTCAGACTTATCATACAGAAAATTTAGATCCACGGCGAATTGAATCATAAACACGGATGTTAAAGAGCTACTTTTCTGTTCTTAATAAATATTTCTGAGTGCTACTTTGATATATTCTGTGTAAATAAATATAATGGCTCAGGTTGCTTATATAGACAGCATGCTGCGAGAGTATCTAGTTTTTCGGGGGTATTCAAATACACTGAAAGCTCTGGATGTGGAGCAGCGAAACGAAAAGGATCAACATTTTCGTGCCGAGCGTTTAATAGAACATTTTAATGCTGCTGTGCAATCGTCGGATCTCAAGGCGCTCCGCGCACTTTGGTTGCACTTGGAGAACAACCTGTTCAGTAAGCTGGATCACACATATGCCACTGGTAAGCCTCAATAATCTTCATACATGTTGATTTTTAATATTTTATTTGATTTGTAGCCGTCAAGAAGTTGGAAAATAGCCTGCTAAAGTACTATCTGGTGTCGGCGTACAGTAACAATAAACCAGACAAAATTTCAGAGTTCTTCAATAAATTGGCCAGCGAGCTGCAGCAGCAAAGTGAATGGAAGGACTGGTTCTGTAAGAAAATCAACTTTTGTTTTGGCTTCCAAAGTTCCATTTAAAATGAACTTTCTTTCCAGTCTTCTCATTCTGTAAGAATGCCGAGGAGTCACCCATATTCGCCCTCTACTTTACCAAGCAGTGGCAGGACACGCTGCTGCTGTCACTGCGTAACTTTCTGACCACTGTCTACCAGTGCCTGCCACAGCCAACGTTTGTGCGAGCCGAGCAGGAGGCTGCGTACATGCAGCGTCTGCAGGACGACAACACCCGACTGCGCGCCCGTCTGCTGCAGCTGCAGCAGGAACAACAGCAGCAGCAACAGCAGCTGGCCAGCGCATCTAGCTCACAGAATCTGAGCGGCGGCGAGGGCAGCACTCGTCGTCGGAACACGTGCCGACATCAACAGAGCCTAAGCGACATCTTGCCCTTTGACATCAGTCCACCGGGTCACATAGTTGATGACTTTTGCATCATTGCCTCTGAGGCGAATATTGTGGGCCAAGCCAGCGAGGGGCAGGCACGGGGACTTAAATTGCTCATACGAAACATTGGGTCCGGTAGCTCCCCGGTGCTGTCACGCAAGGATAATGGCGGGGACAAATCGTCCAGCAAGCATAGATCCGGTAGCGTGGGCCGAAGTTGGATTTAGTTTAGTTTTAAATGAATAAGCAGTGGGAAAGTTTTTGATTTTGTTAAATATTTTATTTATTTGCGCTTCCTCCTAATCGAATAGACGTACAAAGTAAAGAGCAAATGCATGTAAGGTATTATTTAATTGCAATAAATAACGTAAAATTACAAATAAATATCTGACGAGTCGTGTATAAAATACTTTGATCTATACAAGCGGCACATTTTAAAAAAATACAATTTACTGTATAAGGGATATCATTGTATATATAGCATTCATTCAATAAGTATATTTATATCTAGATATCTGTATAAGCTGTATAATTTTGCATAAAGTAGCATCGATTTTGACTTGGAACATTAGATGCGTTCCCTTTAATATATATTATATAAGTAAATGCTTTTTTTCCAGCGTCCATATATTGGTGCTGAGGGGAAGTGGGCGAAGCGCCAAGTGCGATTGCTTATTTAGATTTACGTTTGCTTATGGAATATGTATAAATGTACGTATGTTCCTATGTAATTATGTATGTATGCATATGTATGTATATGTATATGATTACGGTCATTTCCCATTTTCCATCTCCCCCTTCCCTCGACGGACAACAGCGACAGGTTTGACCCGAATTTGCTGTCCCCAATTCCTTAGAGCGCCGTCTCAAAAGCTGGCAGTGATGTGGGCGCACTCGCATATTTATTGGTTTCTGCATTGATTGCTCCAACTACTGCAGCCGAGGCGCCGCCGTTCCTGCCAAAGTTGGGCTTCAGCTCGCCCCGCATAAAGTTATTCTCCTCGGTTTGCAAAAAGAAATTCCGCTTCAGATCGAAACTGGAGACGGCCACGGAGCTGGGACTATTGCTGTTGGCTACGGTGCACGCCGCCGTCTCATCCGCCTCGGAGCCGGCCCGCGAGCCGCCGCTGTTATTGGAGTGATCCTCATCACTGTTGGCCTCCGGTATTGTGGTTGACATGATATCCGTGCGTGGCACAACGGACGCGACCGCCGCATTGGGTCCGCGTATTTTCGGCACAAAAGTCTTGGAGGGCGAACCGAATTGGCCCTGGCGCAACATTCTGCGATTGGCAAAGGTCTTTGGCGAGCCGCTCAGATCGAGCAGCTTTAAGCTGGAGTTCAGCGTTGGCTTCGACGCACCAGGCGTCGCAGTCGCCGTCTTCTGTCCCGCCCCATTGGCAGTGCTCGTCGGCGCCGAGGTCTTCTTCAGCAACTCCACGGCAGACACCTTGCGCTGCACGGGGCTCGTCTTGGCTGATTTGGCCAGCAACAGCTTCTTGAAGTCCATCAGCGTCGTCTTGCTCTGACCAATGCGATCCGCACATGTGTTCAGTCGCTCCGGCGCATCGTCGTTCCAGTTGCGTGACGGCTGCTTCATGGGCGGCACATTCTCCGTGGCGCCCGTCTCTGACCGCGTGGGCGTTGAGGTCAGGAAGACGCCGTTGCCATTTCCAGGCACAATGGGCGACATGTTGTTGCGGCCATTAGGCGTTGATGAAGCATTTCCGGGTGTGGCGGTTCCGGCGCCTGTTGCGGCAGCTGCACGTGCTGCACGATCGGCACGTCGTATGGGCGTGGCATAGAGATCATCCCGGCATGTGGCGTTGCCGCTGGACAAAGGCTTTGGCTGGCTGCGTCGGCTCTGTAGCGTCCAATAAACGGGCGCATTGCGCTGAAAGGGCGTGGCATCGCCGGCCTGTGTATTCAACTGTGCGGGCTGCACTTGCTCATAGATATTAGAGAAACGTTGATACCCTACGGAAAACAAAAGGTCAAACAAAATTCTTTAATGGAAGTTCATGTAATTTTGCACAGAATTGCATTAGCTGTTTTAGTAGGCGTTTTGTTTTTTGTTGTTGGTTCTTTTTGTTTTCTCTTTAAGTGCATTTACCCGGTAAAAGGAGGCAGATAACTCAATTGATAAAAGCATTCAAGCAAGGACAAACCGTACGTACCTGTGGGCCGCCTTTACCTGCCTGTCTGGCTTGTCCCAAGGAGCGAGTGTGTATATGTATGTACAAGTGGTGCAATGGATGCGTTGCATGATGGTGGGTTGGGTGGGTGTTTGGTGGGTGTGGTGCGGTGCAGTGTCTATGGTATAACCATGCCCGTTTTATGCAGTGAATGAATCAATTTTCTTTGCTACACAATGCCAATGATTGATGCGAGTTTCTATTTTTCTTTTGCTTTCAGTTTTCTTTTTTTTTTTCAATTTTATTTTTATTTTTGCATTACTTACGATCGGTGGGTTTAGTTTTTGCATGGAATGTGATTGAACCTAGGAGCTCTACTTAGCTAAGTATGTCGTACTTAAGGTGTTTAACTTAACGTTTGCAAATTAGGCGCTAATTTTTTAAAAATTTAGCCAATCAACTACAAACAGTTATAATTCTCGTTAGTTGGGCAAGGTGCAAAAAACAACTACTACTACACAATACATATATACACACATACATACATAAACAATCAAAGTTATGCAATAGAAGTTTTCTGCACGCTTGTTAATTGGATTCATAAACAAACAAAAAATTCAATTTTCAAATTTTAAATTTCGTATCTTAAAAAATTAGCGTCTTAATTTGTGTTCATTTTATCAACTTAATGCATACAGGTGATAATTATTTATATTAATTTAATTTTTTCTTTTAACAAAACATAAACGGTGCAAAAAACTTTATCAAACAAATCAGCTTAAATATTATAATTAGTTACAGTTAGGAATTGACATTAGTTGACAAAAAAATAAAGAAGAAACATATAGTTTAAGTACACACACATACATACATAACACTTAATTACAGGTGATGGTTAAGTGAAGGCAAACAGTTAGTTAAACAAATCAAAATTTGTGCAAAATCTTTAAATTTAAAAACGGCATAAAATGTACATAAATATTAGGAATAAAATTATGATATTAACAAACTTTAGTTGTATATATAAAATAGCTCGCATTTCAAGTGTACAGCTGAAAGGGAAGTTAAGCATTCGAATTGACTCTTTTTGCAACGATCTGGCAACGCTAGCAATCACCATGCACTTGATAAATTGGCTTCGGCTAGCGTGTGGCAAGAGCCGTTACAGAAGACAAACTCCTGGCTAACTCTGTGAGGTCTGCTCATAAGCTGAATGGAGTGAGCTTGGGCACATTGAACCTACAGCCAAATGCCAATGAATGGCATTAGGAACTCGCTTCTGGCAACACTAGCCCATTGAACACGTACGAAACAAAGACTTGGCTGTGTGTGTGTGCTGACTAAGAGACTAACAGAAAGGATGCCAGACCCCAGCCAAGATAGACAATTACTTTGTACTGTTTGCTCAAGACGCCCACTTGAGAGCGTGCGGCAGAGCGGAGGCTGGCGTGGAATGGTTTCCAGCTGCATGAAGAGAGACTGCAACTGTTGTTGCTGCTGCTGTTGCAGCTGCTACTGTTGCAGCTATTTTCTAACTAAAGGTCAAGTTAAAGACAAGTTAATGAGCCGCTGCGCTTTACCAGATTTCCGTTACCTCAAACTTTTGCAAGAGGCGTTGGCGTCGAGCGCCGTTATCCTCGTTGGGCTTGATTATTCTGAAGGGTCGCAGCAAGACACTCTCCACAAAAGACCTGTGGTATCTGCTGTGTGGCGTGGGCATGTGCGGCTCTGCCCCCGACTCATCCTCCTCATCGGAGTCCGAGTCGCTGGCCTGGCCTTTGCCATTGTCTGGCTGCACGTCGCCGTCTGCCACATGAAATGCGGTTGAGTCATCAAAGTTCTCGAGCGACTTGTTCTTCAAATAGGAGGAGTCAATGCAAGTGGTCGACAGGGAGAACTCATCGACCAGGCGCTCGAAGGATTTGGCGATTTTGCGTTCGACTGGGCTGCCTGAATTGGTTGCCTTTGCAACCAGCTGCAAGTTGCTCAGGTTGCGCAACTTGAGCGAACTTGTTGCATGCAACATGGGGGGCAATGCACTGTTGGCCGATGCTGCCTGCAAATAGTTTTCCTTATTCATCTCCAGCTTCAGCTCATCGTTGGCCAGCCTATAGCTGTTGTTGCGCTTCAGCGCCACAGAGCGGCTTTTGCTCTCAGTGGCCGTGGGCGTGGGCGTGGGCGTAGGCGTGGAGCTGGAGCAGATGTCAGTTGCATTCGAAATGGAAAACTGCGTTTCAGCAATTGGGTCAATCGATAATGTCGGCACAGCGGGTGTGGGCATTGCAACGGCCCCTGCTCGGCTGGCAGTTTTCCCATTTACTTTCATTCGGGGCGGCAGCTGTGGCGGTGGTGGGGACGCCGTTGCCAGTTGGGGGCTGAATTGGGGGTTAGTTGCTGTGGCAACAGCAACCCTCACTTGCGTGCCACACTCTGTGGGGGGACTTGGCTGTACACTTGAAATGCTGCTCATTGATGCGAATTTTGACTTGCTGAGCAACAAATTTGTTTGACTCTTGTTGTTGATGTTAAGAGTTGGTGTTGTTGTTGTTGTGGTAGTAGAGTGTAGTAGCGTATTATTTACAATGGCAAGGTTTGGGTCTAACAAAGCGTTTAAGTTATTGCAGCTAGAATTTAATTGTTGTTGCTGTTGTTGTCGTTGCTGTTGTAGCTGCTGTTGCTCTGACAGTAATTGTTGTTGTTGTTGTAGTTGTGTCGTTGTTGTTGTCGTTGTTGCCTTACCTTCTTCCACGGAACTAACTGACGCCGTTGTCGCCGTCGATGACGAGGAGCTGGTGGCCGTGGAGCCCGTCGATGAATTCGATTTGCTCGATGGCGACGGCATCATCATTCCAGCCGGCGCAGCCGGTGCAATAGTCTCGTAAAACGGATTCGTATTGTTGGCCAGCAACTGCTTCTGGTCCTGGTAGCTGCTGTTGCCTGGCTGATAGGCGGCCGTCATAGTGCCGCTGGCGGCAGTCGTCTTGCTGAGCGGCGATTTGGCTAATATGGGACGCACATTGGCCACTTTGCGATTGGCCGCAATGCCGCTGCCGCTTAATAACAATAATTTGGCGCTCTTTGTGGCTGCTGTCGTTGATAGTCCTGTGCCCGCTGCTGTTACCGTTGCACTTTCACCCGTGACGTCTCGCATTGCACTGAGCAACGCACTTTCGGTTTCCTTCACGTACGGCCCAGGTGCGAAGGTGGTGTGCGCTCCCTTGCGCCGCTTCAAGCTATCCGAATCGTATATGATGCGACCCTCGGCCGTTGTGCGCACCCGACGCTGAGCGCCGCTCGGCGAGATGAGCGACTTCTCCTCGCGCAACTCGCTGATCTCAGCATACATGGGCACGCCGCTCTCCAGCCCGCTGCAGGCCACACCAGTCGACGGGGTGGCAGCAGCGGCGTCAGCAGGGGTTGCAGCAGCAGCAGCAGCAGCAGCAGCTGTCTCTGTTGCCTGTGCGCAGGCTTCGCTCTTGCTACTGCCGCTGCCTGCTGCATGCCGACGCAAATGCTGTGGCAGCTCGTTGAGCGAAACGTATTCCGAGGGTTGCTGCTCGCTCGGCTTGCGAACTATGTCATTGGAATAGTAGATGGCGAGGTTGCTTTTGGCGCGATTCTCTCGCCTGTTGTTGTTGATGTTGTGATGGTTGTTGTTGTTGTTGCTAATGTCCGCTATGGTCACATACTCGCCAGCCAAATCGTAAAGCTTATCGTCATTCACGGCGCTCGCCGAGGCTGGCTTGGCGGGCGAGCTTTTGCCGGGCGACCGTTTGATGGCTGGCAAAGCCACGCGGAGCTTTTCCAGCATGCTGCCAAAAGCTTTCGTCGGCGTCTGCTTCAGCTCGTTGAGGTTGTGGTCTTTGCTGTCCCTGCTGTCCCGGCTGTGTGCATTGGTGGGCGTCAGCTGCTCGGGCACATCCAATTCGCTGTCCACGTCCAGCTGCAGGCTGGTCAGCGTGCGTTCGGCATCCGCATCCTGCGACTGCAGCTCATCGTCGTCGCTGGTCGTGGGCGTTATGATGCACATGGAGGGAATGCGCTTGGCATTCAGCGCTGTCTTCTGTTTGATGCGCTCAATGCGCTCCACGCCCTCCAGATCCGAGCACTCAGAGTGCTCAAGATCCCCAGGCACAGGCAGAGCCGAGCGCTGCTGCTGCTGCTGCTCCTGCTGACCGTCGTCCATGTGTTTAGTGTGCTGCTGCCCTCCATCCTCGGACTTACTCGATTGCTTCACATTGCGCTTGATGGTGCCGGTGCGCTCCAAGGTGCTGCCAATGGTGCTGCTGCTGTAGCTACGCTCCAGGGTGCTGCTGCTGGCGCTGTTGCTGTGGCTCTGGCTGTGCTTGCCCAGCGAGCTGCTGCGCTCGGGCACATCCGGCCCGGTGCAGACGGCCCCATTCATCAGGGTGGTGCACACAGTGCCCGCCGAGCTGGTGGTGGTCGACGTGGACCCGCGCCCATACAGCTCATATTCGTTCTCCGCATTGAGCACCGTCTGATTGGACTGGCTGCCAAAGGAGTAGCTGCTCGTGTGCAGGCTCTGCTGCAGCGGCGTCATTGGCGGCTCCTCCTCCTTAAGGGTGCGCAGCCCGCTGTCCATGTGAAAGGACGTGTAGTAGCCTTCGGTATCGCAGCTATAGGCCGAGCTCGTCTCATCGTCCAGATGATTCGGATAGCTGCCCGCATCGCCCTGCAGCTCCGGCGTGGCGGTGCCCTCGCTGGTGACGCTGCTCGAGGCGGATGTGTTCAGGAAGCGTCGCCGGCTCAGCATGGACGAGGGCGGACCGCTGCTGCTGCACGGCTGGAAGCTGGACACGTTCAGCGAGGTGTTCGAGGCGCTCGACTTGGGCTGCATGGTTATCTCGCTGCCAATGGAGGCGCGTCCCGACTCTGAGCTGGCGCTCCAGTTGCCGCTGGACGAGTGCGGCTGCTCCTCCTTGCCGGCCGCATCCAGGCGATGCAACCCATTGCGCCGCTGCCTGTTCAGCGTGGCCGTCTCTCGCATCTTGACGTGCGCCGCCGCCAGCGAGGACAGCTGCAGCTTGCCGCGCAGCTGGCCGCTGCTGGACATGCTCATGCTCTTCTCGGATGAGGAATACGAGGGTTTTCGTTCGTGCGAAAACCGAGATTCACTCTTCTGCGCAATCAGATCGTGCACCACGCACTCGTCGTCAATGTCCCGCGTGGTGGCATCGCGCTTCGACTTGGACACGGCGCCCGGAGCGGCCGTCGAGCAGTGGCTGCTCGGCTCTGCTTTCTCCGTGGAGCTGTTCTGCGAACTGCACCCGCTGGTGTCCAGCTGGCTGGACTCGCCGACGCCGCTCAGCTCGCCATTGCGGTGCATAAACTTGAAGCGATTGCGGCCCCATTGCTTCAGCGAGTTCAGTCGGGTCAATGTGCTCTTCCCCTTGTCGTAGGGCAAGGCAACAGATTCCTTTTTTAAGAGGTCGCTGGATTTGCTGCGTCCGAATTTCTTAGATTTCTTTGTGGCATCCGCAGCAGCAGCGGGCGCTGGCGAGGTGGCATTTGATGGATTCTTCGATTCCGCATTGCTGTGGCGATTGGGGGGAAATTATTTTTTGTGCATATTTTGTTGTTTGTTGTAGTTGTTGTGTGGTTGTTGTTGTTGTGGGGGAAACATAAAAAGAAAATATATATATATGTTTGGTTTATGGTTAGCTAATTCATAAGACTTGATGAAGATGTGTGCGATATTTGGTTAGAATTTATGCCCAAACAGATGAGCAGAAACAGAGAGGAGAAGAGAGAGAGAGAGAGAGAGAGATAGAGAAGTCGAAAGAGACAGCTAGAGTGAGAAAAATCGTTTGCCAATCTATAAAAATTATTGTGAGGTGCGCGCCCCAAAAGAATTTTCCGAAATCAATTTGCGTTTTATATTTTCGGTTTCTGCTTTATTTCAGATACATTATCATTTTTATTACAGAACGAACATGAGTTTTGAGATACACACACACACACACACACGCACACACACACTTACGCGCACAGCGTGCTCTCGGAAAATGTAGATTAATTAATGGCACAGTTCAAAGTTGAATTTCCAAGCAAACATTTTCTTTTGCTGCTTTTCTTTTTGTTGCTGTTGCTGTTGTTGTTGTTGTTGCTTTCTGTTGATTATTAAGAGCGATTACAACATCTACATTTTTGAGTGCCTCCAGACTGAAGTTTTCATTTCGTTTGTGGGGCAGCTGCTGCATGCACTTATTGACGACATAGGGAACACATACATACACACACACATACACAAACACACGCTATGCAACGCTAATTATGCCGATAAGCAATGCTTTTCATTCAATTTTCTATAGTTTCAACCCAAAAATGAAAATCTTCATTTAACGCTGCGCAATGGATTTGCTAGCAGGTCATCTTGAATACGAAGACATTTCCTTTATGCAATGCACCATATAATAGGAAATTTGAGCTTTTCAGAGGTCGGTTCTAAAAATAACTTAGATCAAGCAACAGAACGCAATTTATTTTGTTTAATTAAGAATTGAAGAACTGAGAATTGAGAAAATAAATCGTAAATATATTTATGATATTTAAAGAATTCAGAGTTGTTTTGGTATATACTTTAAACTGTATAATTTCCAATCATTCTCTAACTATTTAATATTCCAACAGAAAATCATTATTTAATTTGTCGTTTCTATATGCGAAAACACTTTGAGCTGCCCTCGCAATTCACAGTTTGACGGGTAATTGGGTTCAGTTGAGTTCGAATTTAGTTTGCTTTGCATATTTACTGCTGATCGCACAGATATTGAACAGCATTGGCATATATAGCACACACACATATATATGTATGTGCTGTGTGTGTGTGTGTGTGTGTGTGTGCAGTTTCATGTTGCATATGAAACGCAGTCAAACGGAATGACGACAACGTCGCAGGCTTCGCTCGTGGGTTTTGTGGGCAGACGACGCCAACAAAACAAATAAGATTTATGAAACTTTTAAGCAAAAGGCGTCAGCCAAATCCACTGAACAAGTAAGGAAAAAAAACTAAAATAAAAAGAGCATAACCTAATACGAATTGTTGTTGCTGTTGGTTTTTGACTGGTTGGCAGAAATCCTCAGGAGAGAACGTGGCTCCACGCCTGATTTATGCTGATGATGCGCGCAGGCCGAGAGTTTGAGTGTGGGCTGCAGCTAACATGTTGCTGGGCCTGCGCAACATGGCAGCTGGCAACAATGTTGCCAAGGCAGTTGGCGAAACAATTTCTGTGTGTGGGTGGTTTGTGACTGCGCTGAATGCATGAGGTGAATGTCTCGGATATGAATGAATTTTATGATAAATGCGAGCAATGTGTGTATGTTTGAGTGTGTGAGTGTATGAGTGTGTGCAATTGTGTTGGTTTCTAATGTTAAGTAATTTGTTAGGCTGTTTTTTTTTTGTTTCTCTTTTTTTTTTTTTTAATATTTCATTCGTAATTTTAGGCGTTTTGCAATTATGTTTTTAAATATATTTTTAGCTGGCAGAAAAAATTTAGTTTTAATTCGCTTGGCTGAAAAGAAAATTATGTTGCTTGCAAATCTTTGTAATTGGCATCGATTTGGACAGAACAAAATTATATATTTTAAACTATATATGCGAAACACAAACAACGATTAATCGGATTATTTACAAATCAGTTTGCTTTTGTACAACATTCAGCTTAAATAAATTTTTTCATTTAGTTCGGCATGCGCTGTGCTCCTAATTTAGCAAATAATAACAATAATTAATTACATAAGAATAATTACAGAAAGGAAAATACAACAAGGCACGAACGAATCGATTTGTACAACTTTCGATTATTGTCTAAAAATGTTTGGAAAATAAATTCAAAATTGTTTCAAAAATATTTCAAATACTAAACAGCATAACAAATTGAACAGCTAATTGATTTTTTTTGTTGTTGTTGCGATTTTCACAATAATTCTCTAGGAAAATGGGTTATATATATATATATGGATCATACAACATGATCATATATATTTGTATATGTACGACATGTTGTATATGAGGTCTCAGTATGCATTATGTACAGTTTGAGAGCCACTGCAACGAAGAGCTTTTGCGAATTGGCAACGAAAAGTGATAAACAATATTGGAAAAGAAACTCTGTGCGCATCGCGCAGCGATTCACAATTATCACATTCACATACCCATTGGCCGCATCCTGGATCTCCTTCTGGTCGATGCCCGCAATGGTGTTGCGACGCTTGCCCCGCACCTTGCGCGACCTCGACCGCCGGCTGACCGTGTGCACGTTGTCGTCCAGATTGTTGGCCTCCGCCTGATTGTCCTCGGGACTGCCGCTACTGGGCGTGCCAGAGCCAGCGCCGCCGGCATAGCAGCCCGTCGTGGATTTCCGTGCGGCGCACATGCGCTGGAAGTGCTTGCCGGACGTGTTCACCGAGATCACCTCGGCGGGGTATCTGCAAACGGGTAAATAAGATTAGATTTTAGAGTCAATTTTCTATCTTTTTTTTTCAGTTTTAAAGTGCATTTTGTGGTATTTTGTTGTCATGCTTTACGATTGTTAAATCAAACATTTGCGCATTAAATCAACGAAGCGTTAACAATGTTTGCGTCCAATTCCCCAACTTCCCACGCCCACTCCGCACAACTCCCCATTGCCCTGCGTTCAAATGTCTGTTTGCTGCGCCTCAAACAAATGAGCCATGGCCGCCGAAAGGCAACTCGTGGGCGTGGCCCCCGGCCAACACTTGCATAATTGTGTGTGTGGCCACATTGTAAATTTACGTAATGCGCAATTGAATTAATTTATTTAGCTTTTTTTTACGCCGCGGTTTCCCATTGCGTCGCATTGCCCTCCCAAAGCTTGACAAACAAAAAAAAAAAAAAGCCAAATATTATAGATGGAAATGGAATGGCCTATAACGAAGTTCAAATATACTAGCCGGACCTTTGGCATTTAAGACCTTAGGCTAGAGATCTATAGAGCTATTGATAAATTCTTGTTCGTTATATAGACATAGTATATTACGTTACTATTATATGTAGTAAGCCGTTTTTGAAATATATCTTGATATCTGAATTATACACATTTTCGGCCTTAGACCTTTTCTGAGCTGCTTTAATTACTACTACTAAGAAATAGTTCAACTGCATAATGACTCTTAGATACCCTAACATTCATAAATTCAACAGTCCAAATACTTGCCGAGGAATGTTTTTAATTAATAGCCCAGCTAATTTTCAATACATTTTATGCACTTTCCTTTATTGTAATTATCAAACAAAAAACAAAAACCAGCCAACAGAATAAATTCATGATATCTGTGCTTCGCCATGCAGCACACAGTAAAAAACGAGGCAATTTTATCTGTTCTGATTGTTTTTCTATGCCGGCTGGTTAAACAATAGCAACAACAACAACAACAACAGCAAACAAGCTGTAAAAATTTACATAAAATTCCAATAAAATTAAGTTTTAAATATAATTAGCATATGCACTGGGATTGGCTGCTGCACAATGCCCGTCAAACTGTCAGCTACTGGCTTAGTTAGAGCTTAGTATGAATCACTGTACTTACTTTAAGGCAATTATTTTGGTTTGTTCCTCGGGTGAAGGCAGTCGATGATTCAAAGGCACATCTTTATTGATATCGTTCGATAGCAGCAGCTGTTGCTGCTGCTGCAGCTGCTGATGATGATGATGGGAGCTGTCCGCCGGCTGGCTGAGGTTGAGCGCGTAGAGCGCATCGGCGGCATCGGCGGACAGCACGGACGGAGAGAGTGCGGGCGTTAGGACGCCATTATCACCAATGGCCAGCGATGTGCAGATCGAGGTGTCCACGTGGTGCATGCAATCGGGCGTGACGGTGACATCACCCAGCGCCTCGCTGGATGTCCACTTCCGCAAATCCTCGATGGCAGCGGGCTGCAAGAAAGGGAAATGAAAGAAAGGGTCGAATGGGTTAGAGTGTGGGTTAACCAAAAGGCATTCGTCGCTTAATTAGCCGTTGGCAAAAAAAACACGACATGCAAAAATAGGTTTTATGTTTTATGGCCTTAATTGGTCCCGAGGCAGGCCCGTCACGCATATCCTTGAAAGGAAGCCACACTCATATGCTGAAATGAATGAATGAATGGCTGACACAGCTCGTGCGCAAACATTTGTCTCTTCTGGCCAGCGCAAATTTGACCAAGTCACGCGATTTGTCAGAAAAAAAACACGCGTTTTCTAAACTTGATTTCGATTTGTATTCCATGTGGGTCGACATCCTCCCTCCCCTGGTCAGCTCTTCGAAATTCAATCAGTTTAATTAAAAGCAATCAGACAATCTACAAATTCCCCAAAATAATTCCGAGCTCTATTTCCGAGCGCATCCAATCTCACTAAGCAAAAGGCGCAATCGTTTCGATTGATTTTCGGGGTCCCCATTAAAATCAATTGTAACAATTGAAAGTCAACTGGAGAAAGGGCAGCAAACAAAATGGGGGGGTGGAGCTGGAGTCTGTCTGTAGTTTGGTCATGGATATGTAAGACCAAGTTAGCCCCAACACCCACAAGAAATTTACATAAAATTCCACTTGTGCTGCGTTTTCATTAGGAAATAAAACTTTGTTCGGAATTGAGCCAACGAATCCATGGAGCGCACAGTGGTGCCAACTAATTTGTGTTGGATCGAAATTCTGATTCTTAGCTAACTGCTCAGAATATTGTAAACTCCATGGAAAATGTTGCTAGACGAATTTTTCCAGTTTTTCCAGTTTTACTTTAGAATATTCTCCGCGACATTAGATAATTTTGTAAGCAGTGTGCAAGAGTCCTGTCTAGCTGCCAATAATTTGTTGTTGTTGTTGCTGTTGTTGTTTACGGTTCGTCGGCTCTTTGTTTGGCTCAATTGAATGGCCAAGTATGAATGATAAAATATTTGCACATAAATGTCGTGCCATATATAATAAAATCGAATTCAATGTGTCTGCTGTTGCTGCCGTCTCACAAATAAACAGCAAACAGTAAACAATAACAACAACAACAACGACAACGGCGACAACAACGACAATCTTTTTGCGGCCGTAAGCAATAAACCGCAATGCGCTAATACGACTCTTGGCTAACTGGAGCCAAAGTCACAGCTAAAACTGGAAACGACGTTCAAGCTGAAGCTGAAGCTGGAGCTGGAGCTGGAGATGCAGCCAAGTGGAACTGGCGGCCACTAACGTCAAACGCAATGCGAAAAGGATTAAAAGTCATTCAATTAGGGAGCAGACGACAAAGATGTCGCGCTCAGGCGACCGGGCTAAAAGCCAGTCGTACATTTTGGGCCAACTATTGACAACTGGCTGCCACGCTGATGTTGTTGTTGTTGTTGTTGTTTCAACTAGTTTTGCCAAGCTGCCGAACAGGAAAGTCGCCGTGGCGTCGTCTATACTCCGATTCCCATTCCCATTCCCATTCGCCACCTTGTCGTAGTCAGCCTTTGGCCACTGGCTGTTTGTCTTGGCCAGCTTATCTAATGGCATGGATAAACAAGGAAAGACAACGTTGACGCTGACGCTGATGTGGATGAGGAAAATGATGACGACGGCGACGACGACGACGACGATGATGACGATGATGATGATGTTGATGGTGATAATGATGGACTTGCTGCCGGCCACGGCAAATGGGACAACTTTGAAGCGCGTTAGCTCAAATTAAGTAACTGCGATTCGCAGATACGAGTCGAGATAGGCGGAGCGAGGCGGTGCAAGCGGCTTTAACAGTTTAGATTGAAGTCGGTTTCTACTGGCAATTTCATAAGCTCAGCGTGGGACGTCACAATGGCAATTAAAAACGAAGTAAGAACTGTGTGGCATGTTAGAGACTAGAGAATACCCTGTAAACGGCACTTGGGTTGGAATGGGTTATGGAATGACGCTTTCTAGTTATAAATGAATATTACATTGAAATATTTTAGATATAAATATTACATGAGGCTAATGACTAGACCATACCCTGTAAATAGTTTATGTCTAAAGAATTTTTTAGAATTACAATTTAAATTGTTAATTGTTGGAAATCTATCTTTATATATAAATTTCCATATGTAAAGGCTCATAATTATGGCTATGCTCTAAGAAGAATTGAATGAAGTTCCTATGCCCTTGCACATATCTGAGAATAATGTTTTAGATTAAACTGAATTGATTATGCTTTTACTACTTATAAGACCTATAAAGTTCTGGGGCTAAGACTCTTTACTCCCCACGCCTGGGCCATCACAGGGTATAACAACTCAACAACTCCACTGAACTCGAAATGATTTGGCGACCAGCTCGTTAGCCAAGAGCCCGTTGTGTGGTCTTAGTATCTGCTTTGGCTCAACTCGTTTGACAACGACAGAGGCCTCTCGCCGAGTCTGTGGCAACTAGCCACAGTATATATATATGTGTGTGTGTGTGTGTCTTCATGTGTCTATATGGAGCACATTGTTGGAAGATGTTTTTGGCCCGAGCTTTTTGAGCTGGCACAGCTGGCAAATAGCAGGAAGCAATGGCCACAACGTCAACCGCGAAGACCACACACATGGGGCCGTGGTCGGATTTTGGACATGGATCGGGCTGGGTAGGGGCTGTGGCCGGCACTGCCGTTGGCTACGCTGGAGTGCAGATTATTATTTATGTATGGCGCAAGTACTAACTCAACTTGAACTGTTGCGGCTACTCCACAAAGCAGTTAGTCGCACGACTAACGGCCCAACTGGCTGCCTCTGGACGAGGCTACTCACCAAGCGTATTTCAATCTCGGCATCGATGCGCGTGCGCAGCCTGCGGTTGGCATTGCCAAAGTCCGAGTCAGAGCAGAGCAGCGACTCCTCGATGCCGGACGCTTCCGTAATGCCATCCAGAACATCGTCGTTTGCCTGTGCATCGGCATTAAAGGACACGGAGCGTGGCGGTGTGGTAGCTGTGGACATTAGCACCACCTCCTTGCCCGCCTCCTTGTACAGCTGGCGCACGCTAGCCGGTCGTGTTTCGTTGGAGAAGAGCTCCGTCTGGAATGACTTGTCCGACTCGTAGTGCTGCTTACGTTGTGCAAAGGTGAGCAGGTCGCTTTCAGCTATAGGTAGAGCGAGGGAGAAAAGAGCAGAAGAATACGGTGTTAATATAAATAAATGATGTGTAAAATTGAACGATATAGCGCTACTATAATAGGTCTAATAATAGGCTTAGCTACATACTGGGCAACTGCCTTCACTATTTGGGAATTGTAAACGACATTTGTGCTCAGTGTTTGGAATAGACGCCTATTAATAAAGCTTGCCTAACAGCTTTACCATATACAGTTACAGTTCACAGGAAAAATTAGTTCATTTCCGAGCTAGCGATATCATTGATATTGGATACCGCCCAGAGTGCCATATTGTGGAAGTAGGAATAACAAATGTAATACAATCAGATGATTCATTAACTGTTTGCAGTCTGCAATCTGCTCCATTTAGATTATGTATATGCCATAATTTCCCAGCATGAGTCAGTACATAGCCCATATATGTACATCCCAATGGTGTGCGTGATCAATCAAGCCTTTTATGCAATCTAAGCAAAACAGTCTGTGCACCACATTCCAGCTGCCCATTTCTCTACGAAAGATCTTGAGCACAGCTGCCTATTTGACTCCGACTATTGCGAAATGATTGCGGCATTCGCTATTCGATTTAACGCCCTGCTTCAGTGTTTACATGACGATGATGATGCCACATGCCGCACACTGTTTGCTCTGATTTCCATATAAACAAATTCCAAAAACAAAAACAGAGGGAAAACCCCTCCGGCTGCCCGTCACCCGCACATAAATCAACAGGCAAATTAATAGAGTGGAAAAATCGGCAAAGACCAAGGACAACCCACATATATATAATAATAAAAAAAAAAAAAAGCGAAGCTCATAAAGCGTGGTAAATAAAAAAAAATGTATACGGAAGGGGCAAAAAGGAAAACTGATGCGAGCCATGAAAAATGTAATTAACTTTAATCACCCAAGCGGTCCAGAACATCCCAGCTCCATGGCCAGCACCCAACTGCAAGTGCAGCAGCTGATGGCAGCTCGGGACGGCACTTGCATATTTAATTCATATGACAGACGCTCCAAGATGCGAAATGCTGCGAGTGCGGCGGAGGGGCGGGATGGGCTGGGAGCAGTGCTCGGCTGGTATCTGGGCTGACGACCGTTTGTCTTTCTTTCTTTCTGGCTGTCTGCACATTTCGCATTTAATAGGCGCCCATGTGGACGGTAATGAAAACAACAAAGCCCGAGGAGTAGCTGCTCCAAGTACCAGGAACAGCAACTGCCACTCGTAGATTAACAAGGCAAAAGCAAAGGCTGAGGCGCTGGCAGTGGCAGAGGCAGAGGCAGGGGCAGAGACACCACTCGACGCGGCAGCTGGACCGCTGCCAGGCATAACAACTGGGAACAGTAGCCAAACAGTCGAGGAGAGCGGCGTCGCTCGGCTAGCGCTAAATTCAGGCAATTTTATGGCAGCCGGGCAACATTTTGACGTTGAATGCCCCACTGGAAGATGCATGAGTCTGGGCACTGTGGGTCGACAGCCACAGTCACAGCCACAGCCAGAGCTACAGATACTTTGAGTCATTTTTGTGTGATTTCAAGTACGCAGACATTGGCACGCAGCGCCTGCCTGGCCATGTTGCACTTGACAGTGAGCACATGCCGAAACGCACCAGCAACAGCAACAGCAGCAGCAACAGCAACAGCAACAGCCACGGCAGCTACAATTTGCATGCCCCAATCCGCGGCTCATTTGGGCCCGAAATTCAATTAAGCATGCTCAGGTGCTTTTGGCCACTGCCGGAAACTGTCAGCAGCTGCGGAAATAACAAATTAACTGTGCAAAATGATTTTTCCTTAAAAGCGACGAATTTACATCCTCTGTATTTTAATTTCATTTTTTGGCCGTCTCTCTGACTGTCTGGAGGATAATGCACATAACTTATGCATGTACGCCCGATTGGCGCGGCCATTTCAGTTCAGGGCCAAGAGCCTTACTCATGCCACGGCCAGAACACAGATCGTATCAGACCCGCGCTGACCATTTCCCAGACAAAGACAATTGGCTGGGAGATTGTATAGCGCATTCGCTGGCAAAGTAAATAATCAAACCATGATAAACGTCGTCAATGCACAAAGCAATTGAGTAAACAATAAATTTATGGCCAGGCATAAAAATTAAATACAAGCGAACATCAACAAAAAGAAAAAATGTTTCCCACTGCTCGATAGAGGTCTTGAATGACTTTTGCAATTAGAGCTGATAATTGAGTTGCCTACTTAAGAGTAGATTTAAAAAATTATATATAAATTTTTATTAATATCTGTTGTATAATTTGTATAATCGAATTGTAAGCCCAAACAAGTGTTTAAAAAACTATAAATGTATATGAAAAAGCTCTGTTTTTGAGTTAGTTAATTTCTATGATTTTTACTCAATTATAATTGCACTTTTCAACTAGTTTAATCACGTCAGAGCTCTATTAGTTACTGTTTGTAGTATTATTCAAAGGCTTTGTAGGTGCCTCTGCCAACTGTTTTCAAGCACGAAATATCAAATTCGAGTTGGCGCCGTTGTCACGCGACAATTGTCAATTGTCGTGTCAATCTGTTGAAATTTATAGCAGAGCACAAATCAAAACCCAGACATGATGCGAACACAGCTTGTGTCGTGTGTCTGACAAAACCAATAAGCCGCACATATCTATGGACAGAGAGACAGACAGATAGACAGAGAGACAGACAGTTGTGTCTGCTGTATGAAATGATAGCTGGCTAAAGTGCATTTGGCTGTGGCACATTGGCAGCAAAGCCGCAAATAACTGACAGATTCGCATAAGATGCCAAAAGCGTATCAAATCAGCAACCAACAAAGCCAAAGCCAGGCGTTGAAATTCTTATTAGAAACTAGCGCTGGCCATAAATTGACACCGCCAACAGCGCGACGAGCGGGGGTGCTCGAGCAGCCGGTGGTGCAATGTGGCTGAGTACGTGCAAGGCTACAACTGCGATTGCGACTGCGACTGCGACTGTGGTTGTGGCTGCTGCTGCTGCTTATGGTCTTGTAGCTGTAGCTGTAGCTGTATCTGCTGGATAGAATCTGTTTGGCATAGTGCAGCGCGTTCTGTCGCATAATTTGCGCAAAACAAGTTCCATACAAGGCACGTAGCTGCAGCACGTGGAGCGAGGCGAGGCGGGCTGGCGATAATGTCGAAGCTAGCATGGAAAGATTTATGGGCAGGCATAGAAGAAGTACATCGATAATTGGTGGCAAGGCGGTCTTTCGGTCGCCTGGCAGCCAAGCGGGTTCAATGCCCAAGCATCGCACTGCGGTCAAAAATGCCTTAATTGCAGTGATACCATAGGAGAAGACGAAGAAGGAGGAGGGGGAGGGGGAGGAGGAGGATGGAACCACAGCACTGCTCCAATCAGTTCGACTGCCCATTTTAATTTAATTATTTAAAGCGAAAACAATTGAAGCCAACAAGCGCAACGAGCTTGCAACCACGAGCTGCCCTTGGCCCTTGGCTCTCGGTGCTTGGTGCTTGGCGAGCTGCCAGCGCTCGCTCTCCATGGACTGTGGTCCACGAACCACGGGCTTGCCACTCGCTGTGCATAAGTGTCATAATGGTATTTAAAGCAATTACGGGTCACATTTCAGTGGCACTGAAGCCATACGCCGGACTCAACAGACAGCGGACAGACGGGAAATGAAAGTCCTGCAGCATCCGTTGCGATAATACAAAAAAAAAAGTACAAGAAAAATAAATGAAAGTCGTTCAGCAATGAATTTATTATAAAGAAAATAACTGTCGACTAGGAGATGCTCTCTTTAAATATGTAAATGAGTTTTTAGCTGTAAAAGAGCATTGCCTGATTTTATACTTTTGATAATGCTATAGCATATTATGGTAATCTGAGGTAGCAGTTCTGGCCTTGATTTTTTACTGAGAATATTTGCCAATATATATATTATTATGTTAGATATTTAGCTTATATTTTAAGTATAAGTATTAAATGAGAAAATTAAAGTTAAAGCTAAGTCTATTTTGCTCCATTATATAACCCATTGTAAAGTTCTCTTTTGAATTAAACAACTATTTATTTATATAAATAATTTGACATATTTATTTCAGCTAAAATCAGCTCAATTCTCAACTCATTTAAGCTGCGCTACTTACAGGAGCTAATAGAAATGCCTCACTTACTAAAGCTACTAGAAATGTAGTTCATCAATGGATTTATTCAGAATTAGTTCAATGTAATCATTGTTCCATGTTGTGAACTAGCTCTGTTACCTTCTCTTCTCGTCTATCAAATTGTAAAAAAAAGCCAAATTTTTGTTGTGCTGCTATCAATTTATCAATGTTGCTGACTTATCGAAAGAGGAAGACAGCAAATGCAACAAGCCAAGCCGCGCACTTTTTATGAATGATGAGTCTGGGCCGTAACCTGGCGCAGCCTGAAAAGCTGCGCTTATCGCATTGTCTGCTTAGGTTTGGTAGTAGACGATTTATGAGCCGGGCAGGCATTGCATGCTGCTGCTGTAGCTAGTTAAGCTTAAAGCTAAATTTGTACCACAAAGCTTTAACTTAATACATAAATAGCACACACACACAGATAGGCACGGAAACCGTTACATTATATACATACATACATATGTATGAGCATGGGAGAACGCAAAGTGTATTCACATGTGCTTTATGGGCAACGGGAACGAAAGTTTTTATGCGGCAACAGAGACTGCTGGCTGCTGGGCGCTGCCTCTGCCGCTGCCTCTGCTTCTGCCTCTGCTTCTGCCTCTGCTTCTGGCTGCTATTTTAGCAAATTTTCGCATGCCAACAAAAGTCAGGCGACGTTTTGGGGGCATAAATTGTAAAGCCGCCAGCCAGCAGCAACAACGACAAACAACGCAAAATAGCAGCAACAACAAAAGCTCGACAAATTTATGCAATGTAACAGCAGCAGCAGCAGCCGCAGCAGCAGCGGAGCGTGAAAAGCCAAAAGGCGTGGTGTGAGGAGCGAGAGTGAGAGAGGGAGAGAGGGAAAGA